AGCACATACCTCGGCCCCAGCTGGTTTGGCTCAGTGGATAGTGTCGGCCTGTGGACTGAAGAGACTGAGGTTTGGTTCTGGTCAAGGGCACATGCCAGGCGTTTGGGGCTTGATCCCCAACAGGGGCATGCAGGAGGCAGCCAATCAATGATTCTCTCTCATCATTGATGTTTCTCTCTCTTTTCCCTCTCCCTTCTTCTCTAAAATCAATAAAAAAAAATATTTTTAAAAACAATAAAAGGATGCTGTATTTAAGCGCGCACACACACACACACACACACACAACACCTCATACCTTGGCTGAAAAGCAGGATGTAAACTCACAGCCAAAAGATGCAGAAATGCATTTTACTTCATTTTCACAATATTTTAAAATTTGAAACTATTTACATTAACGCCTATTTTCTAAATTTTTCCCTTTATAAATGGAATATCAAGCAGTACTGAACTCAAAGTGCTGTTTGGCAAAACCTGTCTGAGCTGAATGTGAAAGACATGCTCTCTCAGATCTCAACCGTTCGAGATGCCATCACTCCCCCCATCCCACCCCCCACCCCCAACCCAGGGACTCACAGGGCTGGCCTCACTCATATGGGAAAACCGCCTGGCCCCCGGGGGTAGGTATTAGAGTTTGATTTGATACTTTTTTTTTTATTGACTTCAGAGAGGAGGGGAGGGAGAGATAGAAACATTAATGAGGACACAGAGTCACTGATCAGCTGCCTCCCGCACACCTCCTGCCAGGGACCGAAACCCAGGCATGTGCCCTCCACTGGACTTAACCCCGGGACCCTTCAGTCCAAAGGCTGACGCTCCATCCACTGAGCAAAACTACCTAGGGCTGATTTTATACTCTTTAGAGTTTTGATCCTTATAAATTGCAGAAGATATAGACCTACCAGGTTGCTCAGTGGTAAGAGCGTCGGCCTATGGACTGAAGGGTCTTGGAGTCAATTTCTGTCAAGGGCACATAACTCAGCGGCAGGCTCAATCCCCACCCACCCAGGAGGCAACCAATCGATATGTCTCTCTCATATCGATGTTTCTTTCTCTCTCTCTCCCTCCTTTCCACTCTATCTGAAAATCAATGGGGGGAAAAAATCCTCGGGCGAGAATTAACAAAAATATTAATAATAATTGCATTATGTATAGCAAAAGAAATACATAAAGGCTTTGACAGCCTTATTTTCAGGTCACTGAGAATACAGGGCCTGACAGCTGTCTTTCCGTGGGGAAATCCAGAGCTTGGGAGCTCCAGATTCTGAGGGGGATGGATGGAGATGGCTGCTAAACATAACCAGAGGAAAGAAGATTGAGCCTGGGGTAGGAAGAATATAAATCCAGAATTTCGCAGCAGGGCTGTCCGTCAGCAGCCAGCCTGCCTCTCTTGGTCTTCGGGACTCTCTCACAGTTCCTCTCTCTTCCAGCCTGGCTGTATTCAATCTGGGGCTAAAACAATGTTCCCTTAATTGGCCAGGTCAACTGACACAGGACACTCTGCCCAGGATGTGAGAAAAGCCAAATGTCCGACCACTTGGCTGAAAGGGAAGAACAATCTCCATGCTGCCAGGCACTGGGCACTGGAGGCAGTAGGTTGGATTCACTTTGCACTTCCACCAACCAGGACCGCGTGGTCGCACCAGGCCCTGATGGTGCGCCTTTGCCCACGGCTGGGGGAGGGGCGGCCTGCTCCAGCCAGCAGTGAAGCACCACCGCCATCCAGCCATTCCCCGCGGCTGCATCCTGAAACACAAAGCAGCTCCCAGGTTAACTTATTCTTTTGCCTTTTGATTAAAAAGAGAAAGAGAAGAAAGAAAAAAAAACACCAAGTGACATTAAAAGAGTTACCTAAGGTAAACAGTTAAGGCCAGTGAAAATGTTTAACAATGAGGTGAGGAGGACTCTACGCACCCAAGAGTCCGTAAAGGTCTTTCTAAACTCCAAGTCAGTTTTCTGCACATGTTTACTAGTTTCCAAGTACATCCTTTATTGCCCAAGTTGTAATGTTTGTTGATTTAACCCCTATAGAGCTGTATGTGATCGAGAGGAAACTTGCTGGATCGCATTATTCAAAACCGTCTCCTAGGTTACGGAAAAACAAAAGGTACCTCCTTGGGAATCCCCACCGAAGGGACAGGTCATCAGGACTCAGCACCTCCCAAAATTTCCCAAAGTGCCTGACAAACCAGGGAAGGCCTGGGCCCGGCTCTTACCACTAGGGGTCACACTAAGCGACCAGGAGCAAAGACCACCTCGGGGAACAGACAGCCATAAAGGGAGGTGCAGAATGACTTAATCCTGACACACTTTTTACTTATGCATAATTTGCTTTTTAACAATCATTTTAAACCTGCAGCCAAAAACTCTCTTCTATGGTACCCATTATTAGTGGGGCATTTAGAGTTTGACATTTCTGTACTTTTTTTTTTTACAGACATGAACCTACCACCCTCTATTTTATCTAACAATTGAGTAGAAAATACTTAAGAGTATTTTCCAAGTGATAGTGTATTTGGTCTCATTTTCAAAATGTGTTTTCAAAACTGTTGATACTACTTTGGCCAAATGATTCCTGTGCTGGGATATAAATTAGGTGAAGTGCCACAGGGCATGTAGGTAAATTTTTCTGAATTTCAATTTCTTTTTTAGGAAAATAAGGACAATACCTATCTTACAAAATTAGTTCTGGGAACAATGTGTTACATAAACTGCTGGGAGTCCTTCCAAAAACTTACACTGTGAATTTCCAAGAGACATGGTCACCCTTAAGCAGAATTATACATGCATCTGTGGCTAAGTAACACAGTTTTTAAGCTGGTAAAAACAAACAAAAGTAACCTAAACAGCATTAAATCTAGTCTTTTCTTCTTTTGATTAATCCTTACCGGAGGACATTTTTCCATTGATTTTTACAGAGTGGAAGGGAGGGGGAGAGACAGGCAGAAACAGATGTGAGAGACACATCGATTGGTTGCCTCCTGCATGTACCCCAACTGGAGCTGGGGATCCGGCCTGCCACCGAGGTACATGCCCTTGATGGGAATCGAACCTGGGCACGGGCCGACGCTCTATCCACTGAGCAAACAGGCAGGGCCAAATCCAGTCTTAATATTATAAAAGCAGGCATACCACGGCAAAGTTAACTGATGTTTCCAATTAATATGCAGTTAATTAGCCCTGGCCCGCTCGGGTGACTTAGTTGGTTGAGCATTGTCCCATGCATAAAAAAGTCATAGGTTTGATTCCCATCAGCGTACATACCCCAGGTGCAGGCTCAGTCCCTGGTGGGATGCATATGAACAAAATTTCTTCCTCATTCTCTCTCTCCCTCTCCCTTCTCTAAAAAGCAATAAAAACACATCTAAAATATACATATATATGCAATATATATGCAGTTAATTAGAGGTAGAGCCAGGAATAAAGATTTGCTGTTGCACCTTGCCTCAAAAAATTGTGTATTTGTGTATCCTATTTCTGCAGAGACAATGGAATCCAATGGGAAGTTTTCATTTTAGCATGTGATCATTACTGCTATGAGGTTTTAGATCTTGATTTTACTTTTTCCCCAACAGGTTTTGTCTGTCCCCCAACTGACCCAGATTTCCTGCATTCAGACACTGGAGGTGAGAAGGGGGAGGTTGGAAGAGGAGAAAGGTTGGTTAGTACATGGCCAGTCAAGTTAAAGATGATTGCAACAAATGCCAGAAAACTCTACAAAACTATAGAGGCCTCCTGGGGCTAGTTATGAAGAACTCTGACAGCAGTTGCTTTGTTTTGCCTGGACCAATTGGTGGCTAAGAGGTTGGGGTGCAAAGATGGGCATAAATTCTATTCCTGCAAGTGAAACCAGAGGATGGTGAGCCTAGAGTGACTACCCACATTACATGGTCATGGTCATGTCCAACAGCCCCCCAGCCCCCCAGCCCCGGCCCAGGACTGTATGGAAAGGAACCGTGAGGGGAGGCTGGGCAATGTTAGGGCTGCCCTGAGCTTCCTGCAGTAAGCCTAGCAGCTCTTTTCGTAGCCATCCTTACGGCCCAATCTTGGGTAAGGCACCACTCAACCCATTCTTCCGCCTCCTCCAAATGCTTCTGCAAAGCCGGGCACCCAGAAGTGAGCTCAGAATGCATTCTCTGCAGCAGCCTAGAGCCTTGCCAACCAGAGGACACGACCTCAGGAGTCATGTCGTTATTGCAAGGTATCTACAACCTCAGTGACAAACATTAACACCTTGCCCTACTCGACAAAAAATTATGTTTACATTCAACAGTCTTCCCCCTCCCCGTCGAATACGAGCTGAGGGCTTGCCTCTCCCCAGTCAACAGGGTTGTAGATCCCGAGGAATTGATGTTTAACGCCAAAACTTGCACAGCTTCTCCCTGAGGAGGGGGCTGGGAGTGCGCCCCGCCGCTGCGCGGCCCGGAGCCTGGCATGGGCCGAGCAGCCTTCCCCACCGAGAAGTTTGGGGAAACGAATCCCTCCCTGCACCGGGCCATCGTTTCCACTCGCGTTTCCCAAAAGGTCGCCAAACGGAAAGGACCGGCCGTCTGGCCAACCCCAACGAGGAACCGTCTGGCCCGTGCGCGTCCTTGGGATCTGCAAGCCGCGACCCCAACCCCAGTCCCTGGAGGGGATCCCCGGGGGGAGGGCTGGCGCGCAGGGAAGTACCGGGAGGGGGCCCGGCGGGAGGACTTTCCAGCCGCCCGGCTTTCATCAAAAAGTTCCCTGTCCGTGACCCCGGTGCCTCATCGCTGGGAGTTTCTCCGCTGAACCCCGGGCTCAGGGCTGGCGCTGCTTTTCCCTAGCAGCGCACCAGGCGGTTCTCTTTTCAGGTCTGACTGGCTCGGAAATTCCCCGGCCTGGCCCCGCCCCGAAGAAATCCCCTGCCAGCGCTCATAAGGCGCCGCGCGGCGCCGCCGAGCCACAGCTCCGCGCCGCCGCCGCCCGCTCCGGAGAAGCCGCCGCCCGCGCCCGCGCCCCGCACCGAGCCCGCGCCCGCCATGTTCCACCCCGCCGAGCGCGCCCAGGACTGGGCCATGGACGGCCCCCGGGACGGGCCCAAGAAGGAGCGGCCGCTGGAGGACCGCCACGACAGCGGCCTGGACTCCATGAAGGACGAGGAGTACGAGCAGATGGTGCGGGAGCTGCGCGAGATCCGCCTGGAGCCGCAGGAGGCGCCGCGCAGCGCCGAGCCCTGGAGGCAGCAGCGCACGGAGGACGGAGACTCGTAAGTGCCGGGCCGCGGGGGCGCCGGCCTGCAGCGGGGCGCGGGGCCCGGGAGGCGGCCAAGAGCCCGGGCGGGTGCAGCGACCCGACACCCTGCAGGGCGCACGGGGGCCTGGGAATCGGGTGCACGGGGGCCGGGGTGCGCGAGGGGCCGGGGTGCACGGGGGCCGGGGTGCGCGCGGGGCTGGGAATCGGGGTGCACAGGGGGCCTGGAATCGGGGTGCACGGGGGCCGGGGTGCACGGGAGCCTGGAATCGGGGTGCACGGGGGCCGGGGTGCGCGCGGGGCCGCGGCTCCATCGCTCGGCCTTGCAGCCGCGCGCTCCCGGCGCCGGGGGCGGGCGGGGCGGGGCGGGGCCGCGGGTCCCGGCCGCGGGGGGCGGCTCCGTGCCCGGCAGGCGGGCGCCGCGGCGGGAGGGGAAGTACAGGGCGTTCCGCCGGCGGAGGGCGGGGCGGCTGGTCGGCGCCCTCCGGGGAGGGGGGGAGCCCGGAAAGTCCCTGGGCGCCTGCCAGGAACACTCAGCTCATAATAACCTCGCGGAAAACACCGCGGCCGCGGCCTCCAGAAAGCCCGGCCTTGCGCAATCCCCCGCAGCCCGCGCCGCCCCGGCCCCACGCACTGCACTCACCCCGGGGTTTTTCCCTCTGCCCGCAGGTTCCTGCACTTGGCCATCATCCACGAGGAGAAGGCGCTGACGATGGAAGTGGTCCGCCAGGTGAAGGGAGACCTGGCCTTCCTGAACTTCCAGAACAACCTGCAGCAGGTGCGCCCAGCCCCCCTGACCCCGGGGTCTAGCAGTTTCCTCCTCATCCTTCATGCAATTAATTAAGTCAGTGGTCCTTATTCCACCTGACCTTTTATATTCGAGTCAGCCAACATTCAAGTAAATTCCATTGATTTCGTGAGGCCTTTGTGAGGAAGACCACCGGGGGCCTCTGCCTTGCCCCTTGCACCTGGGGTGGGGGTTAGGGGCCCCGGGGGGGTGCAGCACCCACCACCTGGGGACTCTCCGGGGTTCAAGGGAACTCGGACTGAGGGTTTGATCCATAATGCATCCTCTCTGTTCCCTCTTCTGTCTGTAGACTCCGCTCCACTTGGCGGTGATCACCAACCAGCCAGAAATCGCCCAGGCGCTTCTGGAAGCTGGCTGTGATCCTGAGCTGCGAGACTTTCGAGGAAATACCCCCCTGCACCTTGCCTGTGAGCAGGGCAGCCTGGCCAGCGTGGGAGTCCTGACTCAGAGCTGCGGGACCCAGCACCTCCACGCCATCCTGCAGGCCACCAACTACAACGGTATGTCCGCCTGCCCTGCCCGCCCGCCTGCAGGCAGGCGACCGGGGGAAGGGGGAGGCAGGCCGGCTGAAGGAGTCCAGGCAAGGGCCTAACCTCTCAGCATGGAAGGCTGAGGAAATAGGTATACAAAAGGCCTGTTGGGTGCCTTCATAAAGTTCACTCAGAAACCAGGTTCTTCAGAAGAAGTTGCCCCTTTAAAAGAGGAGGTGAAAGAATCTGCTTGAGATATGAGGGTTGAAAGGAGTGTGGATATTTATATTTTCCTCCTTTTGTCCTTCTAGGCCACACGTGTCTGCACTTGGCCTCCATCCATGGCTACCTGGGCATCGTGGAGCGCCTGGTGTCCTTGGGTGCCGATGTCAACGCCCAGGTGAGTGCCGCACGCCTCCCAGTGCAGTGCGTGGGGCTCCAGGGCCCTCTCGCTAAGATTTCATGTACTTTTTTTTTTTTTTACAAGGGAAAATTCTCAACTCACCTGTAAATATCTCAAATTCCTTTTGGTTCCAGGAGCCCTGCAACGGCCGAACTGCCCTTCATCTCGCGGTGGACCTGCAGAATCCCGACCTGGTGTCCCTCCTGCTGAAGTGCGGGGCTGACGTCAACAGGGTCACCTACCAGGGCTACTCCCCGTACCAGCTCACCTGGGGCCGCCCCAGCACCCGGATCCAGCAGCAGCTGGGCCAGCTGACCCCGGAAAACCTCCAGAGGCTGCCGGAGAGTGAGGACGAGGAGAGCTACGACACAGAGTCCGAGTTCACGGAGGACGAGGTGCGTCTCCGCCGGTCCCTCCACCCTCCCGGGCCCCTAGAGCTGTCCCTCTCCGCCCAGAAGCGTTCCCTAGTGAAGGGCTCCAGCTTCAGTGTATAGAACAGTATCCCGAGAGTGCATTGTCTTTTTTTAGGAGAGGAGCATCCCAACAAAACCCCCTCAGCCTGTTCATCCGTATTTGGGATATAGACAATGAAGTCCACAGATACTTAGGTCATTTCCAGTAGCAGCGCTCTCCCTAGCACCCCAGCACCCCTGGCCGAGCTCTGGGAGAGTAACAAGCCTTATTTCATCTCGTTTCAGCTGCCCTACGATGACTGCGTGCTTGGAGGCCAGCGCCTGACGTTATGAGCTTCCCAGTGTATCTAAAAGGACATGGACTTGTATATTTGTACAAAAACAGAGTTTTATTTTTCTAAAAAAAAAAAAAAAAAGAAAAAGAAATCAAGAAGGTGTACTTATTACCACCCTGCACACTGCCTGACCCCAGACGTTTTACTGTTGGTGGATCAGCCCTCATTTTGTTATTTTTACGCATTTTGGGGGAAGGGAACAAGAAAGATCATTGGATTTCAAAGAAAACCTCTTTTAAAACTCACCATTGCAGGGGGTTTTTTGAGAAGGTTATCCAAAGTCTGATGAGAGGACTGCGTTTTAGTTAGTGTCCTTTATGAATGAAGCCCAGCCCTGTCCTGTGACTTGTGACAATGAGGTGTGTTGTTAAACCTTTCAGTGGGGTGGAGTTAAAAGTTGCTACCTGTCTCAAGGTTTGTGTGACCCTCCTGTAAATGGTGTATATAGTGTATTTTGTTGGTAATTATTTTGCTATTTCTAAGATGTGTATTTATTAAACAGATGTTTACAAACAGAATTACGCTGATCATTTTCCTCCGTGGGACTCCTATTCTGAGAGTCATTCAGTCCTCGGGTGGAGGTGGAGAGGTGTGTGGGAGCGCTTACCACAGCCAGCCATGTAACCCTTTCAGAGAGCAGCTTCTCACAGTTCCTGGGCCCGCTGTGTGTGGGAGGGGTGCCGTTGTAAGATTGCCAGGTGATAGGAAGCATGGGGGATGGGGGGCAAGCTGCTTGGCTTACAGTGTGAAGGCTCTCCAGTGTCATTTACTTTTTTTTTTTTTTTTTTTTTTTTTAATATATTTTATTGATTTTTTTACAGAGGAAGAGAGCAGATGGAGAGTTAGAATTTCTATCAATGAGAGAGAAACGTTGATCAGCTGCCTCCTGCACACCCCATATTGGGAACGTGCCTGCAACCAAGGTACATGCCCTTGACCGGAATGGAACCTGGGACCTTTCAGCCCGCAGGCCGTTGCTCTATCCACTGAGCCAAACCGGTTTTGGCCATGGTCATTTACTTTTATCCTCTTGGTTTAAATTGTTCCAGGACCCTTCCTTCCACTTTAGGAAATTATTCTGGCCAAGAGGGCAGGGCGTATGCTGACCTGTCATTTTCTAGAGCTGGAAAAGATCTCACCTATAGCACTGGAAGTTCCTACGGACCTGGGCTCAGGAATGGGACTGCACTAACGTTTGTTAGCAGCTGCTCACCTCCGAGCTTTCGTTTCCGCACGCATAAGCTGGGCTGTTGTGTAGATTACAATCAATCCACATAAAAAGCACAGCAGCGTGCTAACTCAAGTACTACCTGTTGTATTTCACATGGGAAGAAACAAGTCCAGAGAGAATATCTTATCCAGGGTCACCTTGCAGGGGCACAGGTGGTTAACTTTAATACATCTTATTTTCAGGTAGTTAACATCTTTTAAATGCATTCCACCTCAAAGCCTATTTTTTTTTTTAACCAGTTGTAGTATAAAAGTGATCATAAAGGCTTGAAAAATCCAATCAGCTCAATCAGTCTACTATTCTGAATGATTCTGCAGAGGCAGATCTCACAAGAAATCAGTAACTTGTGAAATCTGGGTTGAGATGCTCTAATCTCAATGTTTTCATCCCTAAAATGCATGTCTTGCCTCGGTAGGAAAAGGAGTAAAGGAGAGTTTATGGCATAATATAAAATGCAGAGTGGTGTATAAATACAATTCATGTACTTGGGCTTACACCTAAGGAAGCATTACCATTACATTACCTCTTTCCTGATCCACAAATGTCAAACTCAAGTGAATATGATGGATCACCTTTCTCTCAGACCAAAATGAGCCAATACTTAAAGGGTCTCTCATATATAAAGAATACTAGAGGCTTGGTGCATGAAATTTGTGCACGGAGGGAGGGGGAGTTATCCCTCAGCCTGGCCTGCACCCTTCTCCAATCCTGGACCCCTTGTGAGATGTCCGACTGCCGGCAATTGGACATCCCTCTCACAATCCAGGACCACTGGCTCCTAACCACTCATCTGCCTGCCTGCCTAATGCCCCCAACTGCCCTCCCCTGCCGGCCTAGTCACCCCTAACCCCCTGCTGGCCTGATCGCCACTAACTGCCCGTGCCTCGGCCCCCACCAGGCTTTGTGGGAAGGAAGTTAGATGTTTGGCAAATGTCCGGTTGGCCTGGTCCGATCAGCATATTACTCTTCTATTAGTATAGATTATTGTAGCCCAGCAGGAGTGGCTCAGTGGTTGAGCATCTACCTGTGAACCAGGAAAGAGGTCCTGGTTCAGTTCCCAGTCACGGCATATGCCTGGGTGTGAGCTCAATTCCCAGTACAGGATATGTAGGAGGCAGCCAATCACTGATTCTCTCATCACTGATGTTTCTCTCTCTCACTCTGAAATCAATAACTATATATTTTTTAAAAGAGCATTATTGTAGACTGTACTGACTGGTCAAAGCAGCCTTGGACATCTGGAGCTGAGCACTGTGGTGGTTCCTCTACCAGTCCTGACTTTTTTCAAAGTGCTCCAAGCCCATCGCTGAAGCTCCTTGTTTATCCCAGAGCACCCAAACACAGTGCTGTGAGATGTGACACATGGGTGTCAGTTAGGTTCAGCTGATGAGTAGAAGCAGCAGGAGGGGACGGGGGAGGTGTAGCCAAGAGAACAAAGGTTGGCCCTAGCCTGTTTGGCTTAGTGGATAGAGCATCAGTCTGCAAACTGAAGGGTCCTGGGTTCGATTTCATTTAAGGGCACCTGCCCGGGGTTGTGGGCTCAATCCCCAGTATGGGGCATGCAGGAGGCAGCTAATCAATGATTCTCATTGTTGTTTCTATCTCTCCCTCTCTCTTCCTCTCTGAAATCAATAAAAATCTCTCTCTCTCTCTCTCTCTCTCTCTCTAATATATATATTAGAGATCCAGCACACGAAATTCGCTCCCCCCCCCCCCCCCCCCCCCCCCCGTCTCCACTGCTTTGCTCCCTTCTTCAGCACTTGGCTTCCTTCTACACTGTCTTCAAAGTCTTCACTCTGCACCTGTGTATGCAAATTAGCCTCCATCTTTGTTGGGTTATTTTGCATACTCACTCCTGATTGGCTGGTGGGCATAGCAGAGGGATGGCCAATATGCATGTTTCTCTTTTATTCATGTAGATATACTCTCAACATTTAAAAAACAAACAAACAGGAGAACAAATGCATGGAATTTGACTCCCAATTTTAGAATGATGTCCTTAGTGCTTCTCAGTCACATGGGCCTCTTCCCCCCCTGTAATGGCGTTGGATCTGTGCTGAGTTGCCCATCACCCTCCCTCCAGTTCTGTGCTAGCGGCTTGGAGATGCAGCCCACTCTTTCTTGGCCTCCTGGGTGGTCAGCTTTTGTGTAGAGGTGTTACCTTTCATGGACATGGCAAAAGGGGACCTCTTCCATCCCAACCCATCTGGGCCCAGCGTCTCACCATTCTAGGCTTCGATGTTTCTGCCTTCAGAACCCCAACCCTCAGGGGTTTCATCATCTGAATAAATCTCCAAGTACTTGGGCCCAGTTAGGCACTGAAGTTAGCCCCGGTTTTTTTACTTTTCAATTCTTCCGGACTGTCTGCTTCTTTCTTTTCTTTTAATTTTTAAATCCACTTTCTTGCCTTCATGCCATTAGTTGGGGGGCTGGAGCCTGGAATTTCCTAAAGGAAAACATTTTGGCCTGAAACATTCTAACCTGTAAAAAGTTTTCCTCCAATTTCTAAGCAAACGTTTTCAAAGAAAATAGTTCAGCACACTGAGCTCCTTTTCTGCACTTTGATTTTCTCCGAGGAGTTCAGGTCCTGCTAGGACCGGTAGAAACAAGGAGGCCTTGGGAAAAAGGGAAGTGACACAGGGGGAAATAAAAAGTCAGGTCAAGCAACTTCCTTGAACTTAGTTCCTTGATTCCTTCTGCCTGCCTCAACATCAGGAAAAATTTCCTTTGTAGGTCACATGAACCAAGTCACCTCCAAAAGCATTTTTCTTTCAAGAGGGAACAAACTCCATCTGAACAACTTGAAGACCTCCATGCAGGGCTCGGAAAAGCAGGCTGCAGATGCTCTGGGGTATTTGCATTGGAGGCCAATCGCTACTGGAAGTGACTAAGTGTGACAATTCGAACTGAGTCAGTGAGATGGTTCTCCCTTCCTTCGCCTCCTTTCCTCCCAATTTTCCTCAGCTTGCCTTGGGTATAGTTGAGTTTCATTTGGCAAGAAGGATCAGCCCAATTAGCATTCCCCAACCCCTGGTACTTCTATAGGAGTGTCCTTGGAGGTTTCCCCATTTTGAGAGACCATCACAGAAACTGAAACTGGATATCCTGTGTGTGTTTCCCTCCTAGAGAAGTAGACTGTTTCACTCACTCATTTGCATGATAAGACACTATTATTCTCCAGGCCCAGTGCAGGGCTAGAGACCCAAAAGGGAACCAGTCATGGCCTCTGCTTCACAAAGCTCCTTGCTTAGGTGGACTGGGAGACAAACAAGCATATATAAAACAGGATGGGGGATGGAGATCAAGAGATTACACCCTAGCCCGGCCAGCATGGATCAGTGGTTGAGCATTGACCTATGAACCAGGAGTCACAGTTTGATTTAAGTCAGGGCACATGCCTGGGGCAGGGGGTGGGGGGGGGATGGGGGGGAAGTAGCCAATCAATGATTCTCTATCATCATTGATGTTTCTATCTCTTTCTTCCTCTCTGAAATCAATATATATATATATATATATATATATATATATATATATATATATATATTTATATATTTATATATATATATATATATATATATATATTTTTTTTTTAAAGAGATTACACCCTAGTTAGCTATTTGCCCCTCAGGCCAGTACTACCTATTCTCTCATCCTTTTAAGGGCACCAGATGTTAGGCCTCTGTCCTTGAGTTCTGGCTAAGAAAGAATTCATATCCAAGACTCAAATACACTCGAAAGTTTATTTAGAAGGTCACAGAGATAGAAGT